CTCTCTCTCTCTCTCTCTCTCTCTCTCTCTCTCTCTCTCTCTTTCTCACACCCCCTATATTCTAGTCCTCCTCTTCTTTACATGAAAAATATTTCTCTTACTTACGAGAAATACTTCTGATGTAAGAAAGTCAGAATATAGGAGGGCGTGTAAGCGAAATAGATTATTTTTATTTCTTATTCCAACTTTTACATACATCAAGCTTATATTTCACATCGTAAACGAACCTTAAGACTTCTCTTAAGTAGTTGTTTACTAATGGTATCATACTGATATAAACAAATAATGACCAAGATAAGGTCATCAAGGTAATCAAGGAAGGTTACCTTCACATGACGCTCCAATGTCTCGACGCGTTTTCAACCTTTGTTTGAAGAAAGAAAAACTAGGAGACTTATTCTTTTCTGACGAAATTTTATCGACCTATTATTCTTTCAAACTCTCTTTTAAGAGGATGCCACATTTGGAAAATTTATCGACTTTGTTTTCTGCAAAGCTTACGTTGTATTGGTTGCACAGAATTACAAGTTCTCTTACGCGATAAAAATATGTGCGAGAATGAATTGGAGCGTTGCTCAATATATGAAAAAAACGATACAAAATTTCAAAGTTAATATTCCAAGTGTAAATTAGTTAGACGCTGTCAGTTAAAGTAAGTCATCTGACACAAAAGATCTATAGCTTGTACTTGTTTATAACTTATACTGAATGCAAGTTCACTCAGAAAATTTTCAAAAAATCTTTACATCGGAATGTAGAAACCTAAATATCGGAAAAGTCTGCAGAAAGATTTCTACATATATTAGTAATTAGGTTTTCCATTAAATGTTTATATGATAATACAAAGCAATACATATTTACTTGAGACTTATATGTGCAAAGAGCACGAAAAGGATTGTCTCAATGACAATCGTCTTTACCTTATCGATATTTTTGTAATTTACGATCGATTCCAGCATCCCTTTAATATGTCTTAATGAAAAAGTACGTATCAACGAATGCAGTCTCGAAGATTCTTGATCATTTACGACCTGAAAATTCTACCTTCGAGAATTCTATTTTCGAAATTTGTGCTTCGAAAGCTTCGCTGAATTATCGGGGTCAGTTTTATCCGATATAAAGTGGGCCGAAAGGTGTGCCCGCAAATAAAAGGAAGCACAATGAAGAGAGGGAGGGCATTCTCTTTATAATGTAGTGAATGGTATACAGCTCGAAATGCTTTTCGGACAAAGGGTTAAAAGCGTCCGCGACCGATGTATTTAGAGTGCATGACCGTTTTCCGCGCGAGTGGGTCATCCGTACATGCCAGAGCGACGAGTTAATTATATGCGCCAACCTAGATATCGTATCGGTCGAGCTTTATCGGAATGAGAACTGCGATCGACCGATTGTTGATTTCCCGAGCGACGCGTCACTAGGATTTACATTCAATCGGCCGAACTTTGCGCTTAATTTCGGCGGAATTACTCGTATATTATTGAGATTATTGAGACTCCGTGACTCAAACACAATCAACATTCCTGAAAGTATCGATATACTCAAGCGAAATCCGTGAGGAATATCATTTCTCCGAAATTCGACGTTTTCTTTCTCTCTCATGGACGTTTCGACAGCGCTCTCGGGAACTCTCCGGAGCCTCCGGAGAAATAAGTCGCGAATAATGCAGCGTAACAATGTTTAGAACTTTGGGGACCAACGTGACGCATTATTCTGGCCGGTTAATTAAATTTTACTATATGCACACAGCGCGAACGTTCGGGAAGAAGCGGTGTTTTCTAACCACTCCGACCTAGCTTCTCTCGACCGGAGCATAAGTTTCCGAGTGAAAACAACGGCGGCATTTACGTGATCCGCGAAGTCACTTCGTCACGTCACGTCAGTCGCGCGTGCCAAATTAACACAGTTAACGATATTATTCCCAGATCACGGAGGCGATGAGGAAGCAACGTGACACCGGTCAGTCGAATTCTCTGAGTCACGCTGAGGAAATGCATCTCACGTCACGTCGCGATTTCACGACGACGACGAGAGAGTCCGGGGTGCCTCTTTTCGCGCGCGAACGTCGAGATACCTCGAACTCACCGGCCTCGAATCGCCGGTTCGAGCGTTCTTTCATGTGCGAGCACGCGACACCGCTCGACTCCGCGTTTACGACGCGAATACGCTCGCCAGGCTGAACAAGGCCTCTGTTCACGGAGTATCGCGCGAAACTGCGAGCGATCGCGGTGCACTCGCAGGTAATTCGATGATTGTTACCAATGTCGCTATCCGTGCATTGCGTAATAGGACGTCCCTGATGCGTAGTCCGCGAGCTTCGCGTCCGCGGCGGCGGCGGCGGCGACGACGACGAACGCGATGGCTCACGGCGTTATTCACGCCCGGTCGCTTCCGGTTCCGGTTACCACGCGGCGAACCGACACGTACGAGCCGACTTTTCGATTCGCGACGTATCAGTCCGAAGGAGCTAGCCGACTGGCAATCGCACGATAAGGCCCCGGCGATTTATGAGCGTCGACGGACGCGATTCCGCAGCCATTTACGAAATTGAATGTCCAGGACGGCGGTCCTGATGGCGAGCGCCGCCGCGAGATTATCTATCGACCTGATATCTCGTAAAGAAGGACTCCGTGACTTTTATGTCGCCTGTTTGTCTCGCTCTACTCTACTTATATGTATTCGTTTCCTGCCTTCTAGTTTTCTCCCTCTCCCTCTCTCTCTCTCTCTCTCTATCTTTATCTTCCTTAGCCAGTGGATCCACTATATCCTGCGGATACATCTCCGTTCGAGCGAGATACGCGCGACCTTACGAGGTTTACGTCTAAATTTTATTATATATCTTTAATTTTCCCCACGGATACATATAACGTCCGTGGAGAGACAGCTCTCAATTTAATACATCTGTGAAAAATATTCCCAATGCATCATCCGTCTCGTCCAAAGATTCGTCTATGTGAAATTAGCTCCCTACCTTCAAAAATTGAAAAATAAAAAGTTAGATTTCTGAGTGCCCCCCGAACAGTCCTCGATTAATTTTAGAAATAGTTCCGTCGTCTAAAATAGTCAAGACGTCATTTTAAAAAAGGGAAGAGGGCAATTTCGCATTTCTTTATAGTGAGATATCACCAGAATTCTAGTTTTTGGTTTTAGCGGGTCGAATATGAAAGATAATTTGTAGAACTCATGAGAGGCTACACAAAATTTTGAACAAATCGACCGATTAAAAAAAAAAGCATTTTTAATAAGTAATTTATTTTTCACAAATTGGTCATTTTCTTTAGAGTTCTGATAGCCTTCCCTCCTCCCTCCGAAAAGTTCTACCGATTATTCTTACCACTCGAATCGATGCAAACGGAAACAAAAAAGTTCTGGCACATTTTAGTAGAGAGTTTCGTGAAGTTGACCCCCTTTTCTCAAGTAGCTTTTTGATTACTGAAGACGCCAGAACTAAAACTAAAATCAATTGAGAACTCCTCGGGGAATAACTAGAGCTCTAACCATTTTTATCAAATTTTAAAGTACAGAGGCTACCTTCACACAGGCTATAAATTCCTCTGACAACTGGATATGTCATTCCCTGTCTCATGGATTTGAATTAAAAAATTTTAATTATTTATACATTTCCTAGTTTCTCCCTAGTTACCAAATTTTTTTTTGCTTATTTTCCTATTTGGTAATGTTCTGTTGATCTCGATGAAAAGTTACTTTCACTAATCAAATTTCAATTGACATAGAGTTCATTGGTTTTACCTTTTCATGCCTATGCATATCGAACATCCGCTTGAGTCACCGATATAAACGATTTAAAAATACCTCGTCACGTTTCAGCTCAAGGTCGCGCAATACTTCGCACAAAAGTTTCGAACCAGCTGAGAGGATACCATTATTTGCAATTCTTTAACACGACTGACTTACAGACTGACATCAATACACAGTTTACACAGTCTCTCTCGCATGACTCAAATCGTATTCGTTGATTTCTGTCTCGTCAGATGCTTTGTGCATACATATTGTTGTGATGAGAAATATGTATTTTAAAAATTAGATACCGCTCAAAAATTTCAAATCACCAATAAAAATGTTTATCAAGAATCTATTATTATCTGGATATTATTATCTGGATGATAATATTATTCGACGATATTGACGGTCGAGTTGCTGGATGATAATCCAGGTAATTATTCTTGATAAACATTTTTATCAGCAATCTCAAATTTTTGACCGCTATGAGACGGATTATATGTAGTATCCCTTGCAAAAATACATCGTGATAATGACAAAATAGAGAGAAAGAGAGATACTTTATTCCGCTGCGCGTGTTATAATATATTGTGATATAAATTATACGATACGGCGCACAAATTACGGCAGCAAGTAACGTTATCATCGTCGCACTCTCGATCTGGTTGCGAAAAATTGATCGAAAATATGAACGTAATTCGAGCTTATCATGATTGTCATATAAAGCGACGAAGCGCGATTACGATCCCATACGTTTGTTACTGTCGTCCGCTTTCATGTTTATTAATGACAACGTTTAAGTTTCCCCTTCCTAATACGACACTCGCGTATGCACGGTGGCCTCGGCTGCGAGCGCGAGGTTATTCGTATGTGTCGCGAGGTCAAGATCATTGTCGTTCGTTTGCGCGTAGCCTGAATTCCGTCACGCCTCGTTTAACCGTGAGTATCGTCTTCAACGCGATAACGAAGTTCCTGACGTTCCTGACATTATGCGGAAATCCAACGTGTTTCTGCCGCTTGTTCTCCGTTTTCACGAATGTTACGCATCATACTAGAGCACATCAAGTATTAATGACTCTATCGACGCTAATGTTTGTAACTTACCTATGTTTGTAACTTAACTATGAAATATGAAAGCGCGGCAGACTTATAACAGAGTCGGGGAGGACGGTGCGCTAAACGCTAAAACCCTAAGCATCAGAAAGTTACGTAAATCTTAACATAGATAAGTTTTACTTAGCGCATTTTCATTTGTTCATAACTTTTGTAAAAATAGCAAATGTTAAATGCTTTTTTTTCTACTTTTAATTTTCGAAACATTGAGAAATATGAATCTACTTATGTTTTTGCGATTCAATGAAGTTACAATGAAAAAATTAGAAATAAGAAATATTAATAGGAAATATTAAAAAATCGGATTCTGACGCTTCACAGTGTTACATGAAAAAAACGGTTGCATGTATCTCTTTAAATCACATGAGAGAGCGACATTCTTTCGTTGTGCCAGAGCGTACAAAAAAGCGTCACGAATAGATACTAAACGGAAGTATGTTGCAAGAAACACGTGTGAGGTTATCGACATACTGTAAATGGAACACTGAGTAAGGTCTAATGGAGAATGGTCATTGTTTTATACGTCCCAACGAAATCTACTTCGTCGTTGTGTACGACGATCGAGTTGCCGTGCAGTCCGTATTGCCGTTGCGCGTAAAATAAATTCAGCGCATTGAACTTTCCGTGACAGGAACAGCTCGGCGCTCAGTGAATTTCATTAATACGATGCGACTTAAACTCCTAACGTCGCGGAGTCTCCGCGGAGATGGTTTCCAACGAGTGAGATGTTAATAAATATTTTCCTATTGATACTTGGTTTTAGCTCTCTATAAATATGATACTTATTAGTAGTAATAAGTGTCTGGGTCGTTCAACAATTACGTAACCTATAATACAAAGATAGCGCGAATTTGGCCAAATCTTTGTATTTTAGAGCCACCTATTATTAAATAAAATATGACAGTATAGAGTAATCCGTCTGCCAAAGAGAACGGGACTGTTCTCTTGTTTTTGGAATGAAGTGATAGATCTAGGTTATAAAATCATTTATCGGCGGTTAAATAAAATGCTAAAAGTCCTTCAGACTGCAGCGAAATCATGCTAAAACATGCGAAAAACAATGAAATCGTTCAGTTTAGTCTGCTGGTGTGACCGTATGCAGGATCTATCGTTCGCAGAATCCACTTTGGCGTACTATCAAACAAAAACTAACCGTCATTATACTTCATCTAATAAAGAATGGTTCTGAAATACGGTAATAAAACTAATAACTATTACTAAGGACAATAAGAGCCAAATCGCTGATGCTAAGCGCTTATGATTTACGTATAATAAAAAAATAATCAAAAAATAAATTAAGTTTTTATTAAAATTAAAATTTAAATAAATTTTTATATGGCTCTTATTGTCTTTAGTAATAGTTATTAGTTTGAATCCTCTAGAGCCGTTATAGTTTTACGGTAATAAAAATTTGGCTAAATTCGCGCTATCTTTATATTAGACTTTTGAACGTACTTTAGGAAAGTCCTTTCGTATTTATAGAAAGTGATAAATAAATAAATAAATAAATATATATATATATATATATATATATATAAAACTTCCATTATACATAAATTGCTTTAGTCTGATTCTTTGCTAATTACTTTGCCACGCATTATTATATCCGCTTCATAAAGATGCTCGTACACGACTGACTACAATGACGGTTCATCGCAGGTCATCGATAGACAAGCAACGAGCAAAATTATAGCGACGAGGATGTACGCAGTTATTTCGGGACGAGGAGCACATTCAAGTACCAGAAGCATCAACCTAATCTAATAACGAGTAACACGACGATGATTTACGAGGGCGTTCCTTTAAATTACACGATACGTCAAAGCAACATCATATATCTCGCTGACTCTCTCTCTTCAATAATGTTTCAAGAAGTATTGAACAATATATGCGGTTACACATAGAGATGTACACAGAAGAACCTGACTCGTGTCTGTGATCGTTAAATTTTCGCGACGAAGCGAAACAATATGACGATTTTGCATCACGTTCTCTCGCTAATGAACTACTGCATTAATCCCGAAAGAAGAAAAAAAGAAGCATCCATGGACGTCAAAGCCCGACTTTCAGGCTAAGACTTCTGGATTTGCTCCAAATTTGCGGGGCATTCAACACTGCCTGTTCAGAATTACAAGGAATCACGGGATAGATGCCATCCCATTATACCGCCAGCTCGTCGGCCTTGAAGACCCGCGATAGAGTCCACGAAGGAAACAGAATGAACAGATATCAATTTCCTCGTTTCTAACCGAAAGCCGTACGTGTTCAGAGTATCTCGAATAGTTCGCGGCGATAGCGATTTTATCCTGATGATAAACCGGTGGCTTTTTACCGATTGGAAGTAGACAAGTGCATACCTTCAGCAGA